TTTGTGGCCATGGAAATTTTGAAAGTTAAGTCAACATGGTCTTACAGTGTGAGTTTTATTTGTACAATTGTAAGAGATTGAAGTATACTTGGACAGGCACCACTCATCACAAAGTGTGATACCAGTCAAAACATGGGACAGGCCCCTGAAATTAATATAAATAACAAAAGAAAGAAAACTTACCCAGTTACAGTCCCAGTGAAGTCTGAAAAATGGCAACAAGTGGAAGACAATAACCTGACAAGGAAGAAACACCAACATGATGCAGATAGTGAGAGATGAAAGTATGCAGAGTGGTCCACATGCCCACTTGAAGAATTTCCTCTAACGGACAATGGAGATGAGATGCATAATCTGTAAGGTGCCTAATCTGATAAGAAGACACCTAGAACAAATTACAAGAAGAAGGAGACAAGGAATAATAAGCCAATAGAATTAAACGCTAAACAAATTGGAAAGGGTGGAAGGAGAGAGATCAAGAACAGAGGATAGCTGCCAAGGAATGAAAAGGCAGGAATGGTTATTACAGAAGAAAGCTGTGTGTGCAATATAACAATAAAGAGCACGAACAGGACATTGAAGTCTATCTGGATTAGATCGAGAATATATATAAGAAAGGGAAAGCAGCAAGGAGGAGGAATTACTCTTCCATGCTGCCAAAGTTTTGGTAAGGAAAGATTGATCCAGGTAAATGAGAATATAAGTGGAATGGTATAAAGTTTGTGAAACCTCAATGGCAAAAAAAATCCGATCAATGATGTCCACAGGCTAAAAGGAGAAAGAAATATGTCTTAAGGGATAAATGAAACATGTAAGAAGATGACAAAGGTTCAAACTGAGGTAAAGTAAAGCATGCAGCACCAAAATGACATCCCAATCTGGAAGGACCACACAGCTTGGAGGTCGACTAATCTAGAAGGAATGCAACAATAGCAATAAGGTATGAGAGGTAAAAACTTGATGGTACTAGGAAAAATGAAAATTGTGGGATAAGGCAGCCTGATTAACCAAGATTAAGGAGACAGATATTCCTTGATCAAATAACCAGGTGATGAAATCCATAATGATAGGAACAGTGGGACAAGCAGGGTGTAGAAAGGGGAATGGAATGTGTAAAAAACAAAGCTACTTGCCATTATAAACCGGATCTCCTCCTCAAGAATCAGCCGGATAAAATAAAAGACAGGCGTGAATATGAAGGGTAGGAAGGATTGGATTAATTATCAGGGACCAAGATTGCCATAGAAGGGATGGAGTTATGGGAAGAGACAACAGTGGAGCAGATTGGATCTGGAGCAGCCCCAGCCAGTAAGGGGCAATCAGAAGGACTTGATACAGAGTGGTGTGGATGATAGAAATCCCCCTAAAAGGAGTTGGATGGGAGGATACACACAAAAGAATTTGTCTGTCCAATCTTGACTGAATGCATTGACAGCAAGTGCAAATGGATGAGGTACCACAGATTAAAACCAAGATAACTTGGTATTGAGGACTGTGACAAATGCATCCAGGTGTGGAGTACCCCACCGACTGAATAACTACTGAAAAACTCGAGGATCTAGAGACCACTTCATTGGATAAATTTTGTCTGGGCAGAAAATTTGATCCATAACAAGGTTGAAAGCATTTGGTACATGACACGGAAAGAGATGAATACCATACGTGTGGGCTCAAAAATGAAGATCCAACATTCAACCACAAAGGGAACAAGAATGGATGCTTCCCTGGTGATTGATATATGCCATCACTGTAAAATTGACAGAATGGATCAAAACCAGACGATTGCTAGAAAGATGAAGAAAATTATCCAAAGCCCAATGTAAGAGGAGAAGCTCCAGAATATTGATATGGTAACACCACTCAGATGGAGACCACTGACTGAAGCTATTTGCTGCTTCACCCCCATCTGTGAAGTGATGCTTCCAGAAAAATATGTAAATTCAAATGAGGGGAAGGAAGCAGAACATCCGACAATGTGTGAGCCTTGTTCATCCATCAATGCAGATCTTCTACAATGGAAGGAGGAAGGGTAATAGGAACATCCAAGGGATCCTGTGCAAGGTTCCATTGGCCGTGAAGAGTCCATTGAAGAGATCTCATTTGAGCACAACCCATGGAGATAAGTGCTGCCATAAATGACCACATCCCCAAAAGAGATAGGATCTCATGAGCAGCAACAGAGGGAGAAGTAAGGATGTAGAGAACTGCCAGCTCCACCGAATGGAGTCAATAAAGAGAAGGTTGGGCCCAACTGAGATGAGTGTTGAAAAAAACACCCATATGGATAAGATAGTGGGTTGGAACAAGGAATGACTTCCCAAACTTGATTAACCAACCAACCCGAGCCACTTCCAAAAAAAGCATATGAGTGTGCTGGGCAGACTCCAGTTCAGAAAGAGCCAACAGTTGCCAGATGTCCATGTAATGGTGTAATGCAACCCTCAAATGGACATATATCCAGCAAAAGCCTTGACCACTCAAAAAAAGACATACGGTATTGATGCAAGCCCGAAAGAGAGAGCATAAAATTAATAAACCACCAAAGAATAGCGTCTCAACAGACGAGATACAGGAATATGTATATAAGCATTCATCCATAAACCTGGATAAAAAACCCACCTGAGGTGAGAATTGACTCCATAATAAAGCAAGGTAGCACCAAGAAGTGATTAAGATGGGACAGATCAATCACAGGCCACCAGTCTCCGGTTTTCTTGGGTACCTCAAACAGCTTGGAATAAAACCCCTGAGAAAGGTGAACAACAGGTTTGATGACATTCTGAGAGAGAAGGTCCTATATCACCTCAGGTAGACGCTGATGTGTGGTAGGATCCCGAAGCAACAGAAAGGCACTGAGTGTCCGAGGTAATGGAAGAGGGGAGAGGAAGTTGATGACAAGTATCTCAGTTAAACTCCAAAGAACCCAGAGATTCTTGGCAAACTACGCCTTAGAGGAACAAACTCTGATAAATGAGCTCTGCCCCCTCTGGACCAGAACTCACAGGGTAGTCACCGATACTGTTGGCAGCATGACACTCTGTGTCAAATAAAATGACAAGAGGAAGATTCCCTGGAGGAAGGAACAGGTAAAGGATGGGAAACAGAAATAGGGGATGATCGAGGCTCAAAGCAAGACAAACGATCAACCAATGAGGAAAGAGTCTATTATTGTCTCACTGATTCTACTCTGGATTCCAAAGTCTCAGAAGATTTCCAAATACCAATTTATGGAGAAAAGTGGTGAAGCGTAAATCTCTAATATAAATAAGTGGCGAATAAACTTGGGACAATACTGCATCTCTCCCCAAAAGTTCCCAACAACAGAGGAACCATGTGTGCAAAGAAAGAGCCAAAGTCAACTGACGTGCCAACATGGATGTAATTAGGGCGAATGTATCCCCCCAAAAAAACCCTCAGGATTATGATGAATCATCTTGGAGAGGAGGTGGATGGTGGACAAGTACTGTAGGATAGACATGAGGGTAAGATGAAGACGAGAAAAATAGGCATGTGATAAATGTACAGGATAATCAGGGTCCACCCCAAATGGGTAAAATTGATTCTAGGTGCTGAGTTTCAGTGAACTGAAAATCAGCCTGATGGTAGGCTAAAATAAAGCAAACTGATACATAGCCCACAGAGAGTGAGATATGCTAGCACCCTCACATAATTGAAATACAAAATGCTCAGTACGAATCCAATATCAGGGGAAGGGGGAAACACAAAATACTGAGAAGAAGGTGTATCATGCAACAAGGAAGGGAGAGGATTACAGGAAATTGGGGAGAGGTATAAAACAGAACATATCTCACATAATTGAAATACAAAAGGCTCAGTATGAATCCCAATATCAGGAGAAGGGGGAAACACAAAATACTGAGAGGAAGGAGTATCATGCAACAAGGAAGGGAGAGGATTACAGGAAATCGGGGAGAGGTATAAAACAGAACACACCTGTGAAATCATGTCCAAAAAAGCCGTATGAGGCCTAGTTGATCCTGCTGCATGAACTTGGGAAGACACATCAAATTCAGGTGGAGAAAAAAGGCTGTCATCCCAAACAGGTTCAGTTTATTCAGGAGGAAAATGGGAACATCAGGAGATTTGGTTTAAATAATGATCAATCTCTCAACAAATAATTGTCAATAATTCCATAGTTGAGGTCTCCCATCTGAAGTCTGAGTGAATGTGCTGATAGAAAGTATAACCTTCGAAGTGGTAACCTGAACTTCATAATTCATAATGAATAACCAAACACAACTGTGTTAGTAAAAAGTATGAAGAAGTTTGTAATTAATGACCAAGGTCCATAACTGGGTAGAAATACAGAATAATTCCACTTCGGAATAAGTTATAAATTAGTATAATTGGATAATAAACAGTAAACTCAATAAGAGTAAATCAATATGAAGATTGAAAAAAATATATATATTGAAGAGAGCAGAAACTAAATTCCAAACATGAGCACTGACAAATAAGAAGTGATAGTTAATTAAAATAGCATAGAGGGTGTGTGGTGCTTCTATTGGTGGAGGTTTGTCGCATGATAGTTTGCATGTGAGAATCAGTTAAACCACGTGAGTTGAAGGGTACATGGGAATGAAAGGCTTGTGGCATGTGGAAAAAAATAAATTGAAAATAGAGGTCAGCACTGAACAAGAATAGCTATGTACGTAATCAGAAGTAAACTACCTTGTCCGAATATAACGTAATTCATTATCCTGATAATTTTGCTATCTTCTGTTACCTTATCAAGGTATATGCCCAAAAAATATACTTACTTAAATAAGTGTTCAATGTTTCAATTAATATATTTCAAAAGCTGCACAATCACTTAAAGTTTTGCTGCCACCATTCAAAATCATCCTAGTTATCTATATAGCACACATGAAAAACAAATTAATTATTATTTGCTTTGTAATTCATTTGACTCTAAAAGACAAAAACAAGTGAATGTTCAATTTTTACATGACAAGATGAAAAATGTATCTAAATATTACCTCCTGTACATGATTCATTTTCTTTTCTGTCAAAAACATCTGAAGCAGATTTTGTCCTTATTTTTCTACTAATTGTTGTACTATCTGAAGCAGCTTGCATGGATTTAGTTCTGTTTCGAGATGGTTCTAAAAACAAATATAAACATATCTGTACCATCCTTCTATTATATGGAAAACAGTTGTATATTATGCATATTTAATTAAAATTTAATAGTAGATTAATACAAATAAAGCTTTTGTGATATTAAAAAAAATTAAATTTAAAAGCTATTTTCTGCCAAATTATGAAGCAAGTTTTACATACATTGGTTATATTGATGTGTTCTGATTTTGGCCTATATAACATTTAAATGTTAAAACACATCTAAAGGCCAATCTAAAGACTAAGGATTATCAGAAATAAAGATATGCTGCAATTAGTCTCCATTATCAGATATCTTAAAAGTGTTTAAATTTCAGTAAATCAAGAGTTCATCAATGTAGACATTTGAACTGTCTTCATATTTAAGTTATGTATGGAAGCATGATTTCCTGTTTTGAAATTCTATAGCAATACTATTTTTTGACATAGTCTAAAACAACTGTCTTTATGAGATGATACTCTTTAGTATTTTAGTTTAAGTATCTACAGTTTACCATGACTAGATTCTGTATGCAGCTTTAATAGATGATAATTTCTATAGTAATTTTGCTTCTGTACTTATGAATGGATTCTGTATTAAAAACTGACTTTATCAAATAACTTCTTGTAGTTTTGTTCAACACCAAAATATGGGTGAATTATTAAACTGTCTTTATCAGATAACATCTAGTAGTTTTGTTCAGTACCAAAATATGGATAGATTATTAAACTGTCTTTATCAGATAACATCTAGTAGTTTTGTTCAGCACCAAAATATGGATAGATTATTAAACTGTCTTTATCAGATAACATCTAGTAGTTTTGTTCAGCACCAAAATATGGATAGATTATTAAACTGTCTTTATCAGATAAGATCTAGTAGTTTTGTTCAGCACCAAAATATGGTGGAATTATTAAACTGTCTTTTTCAGATAACATCTAGTAGTTTTGTTCAGCACCAAAATATGGATGAATTATTAAACTGTCTTTATCAGATAACATCTAGTAGTTTTGTTCAGCACGAAAATATGGTGATTATTAAACTGTCTTTATCAGATAATATGTAATAGTTTGATTGCAGTTCGTAAGTATAATTGGTTTGTTTGTTTGTTTTAAATTAAGCACAAAGCTACACAATTTGCTATCTGTGCTCTGCCCACCACGGGTATCGAAACCTGGTTTCTAGCGTTGTAAGTCCGCAGACATACTGCTGTGCCACTGGGGTACAAGTATGATTGGAATTATATCTGTTTAATAATGCTATACTGTTATGCCCTAGTAATGAAGGATTAAATATGATACGAGAAATTGTTTATAAAATATAAAAACAAAACATACATACCAAGTTTGGCTTTGCGGCTTCCTACTGTGACATTTTTCTCCTGCTTTCGATCACTGAATTTTTCCTTTTTTTGTTTTCAACATGAACTGACATCTTATTTGTTGTTACTTCATAAGAACTTTGTATTTTAGATAAGGTTTTTGTCTCAAGTTGTGGACTAGCTTTAGGATCACACTTTTCAGCAAGAGTCCTCCTCCTTGTCACTATACTTAGAGATGATCTAGTTGGTATATTTTTACTTTTAGTTGGAATATTATTACCTACTTCAGTGACTTTATCATCATTCTTTGCAACAATTTTTGTGTTTGGGGGTAAAGATTGTGTTACATTATTATCAGATAAATGGGCAGGATCAATTTCCCCAGTCACTGAAACATCCTCACATGGCTCTTTTTCAATCTTTAGAGAAAGGTTATTAACATCAGAACTTAAAGAGCCTTCATTTGAAAGGATATTACCAACATTTATCAAATTGCTGTTAGATTTAGACTTGGGTATTTTTTTGGCAGCTACAACACAATCTGAGTTTGAAGGAGAACCAATATCACTAGTACTAATTCCTGTAGCATTTCTGGGGCTGTCTTCTACATAACTTTTGGGAGTATTACCTCTACTCCCAGGAAGCATTTTGCAACTCATTTTTGAGTCATCTTCTGTTTTACTATGGTAATGTTTTATGTGAGATTGAAGAAGATTTTCTTTCCGAAAACTTTTTCCACAACCAGAAATATGACATTTGTAATGGTTGTGGTCATCTTCTACGATAAATTCTTTGGGAGCCACTGCAAGACATGCCATATTAAGATCTTTGAATGTAAAATCCTGACAAGTTTCATTTGCAATAATATCACTTTAGAAAAGCTAATTACCACATTTATAAAGGTGAAAAACTTATCATTACCCATTATCTATGAAATGAAAGAAATAAGGTAGCAAGTTTTAGAGGTAATAAATATCAAATGTTAAAAATTTTCTATTTAACTGTGAAAAATATTTATATTAACTAAATAAAAACTTATTTTGTTTACTGTGTAATAACACTTCATAGTTGACTTCTAATCTGTTTAAACAAAATATTTGGCAGCTCTAGTTTGCATTGTGAATAATTAGAATTTCACTGACTTTCTATGAAAAAAAATTATGTAAATATGTATAAGTATATATGTTACTAAATAATAGCAGTAAACAAATTAGATCTAATATAATTTCTAGCTTAATGTTTTTTAATTGTAATTTAATTTATTGTAATTTAATAAAACAACATATTTTTGCTTTAAATACAGAAAAATTAGCTGAACTAATATTGCAATTTCTTTTCTTTCCCTCTCTTTCTCAGTACATACTACTACACTGTTTTTGCTTTAGTTTTAATGTAATAAAACAGAATAAAAAGGGAAATCAATATCCCCGAACCAGCAATTTCAGAAAAATTCAGTGAATTTCCCTTTAAAAACTAAATCCCTGCCATATTTAAATAAAAAAGTAAGAAAGCAAAATACTGTAATTAGTGAATATATCTAATTAATTCTTTGATACAAAAATAGAGCATTACAGTTTCACATTTCTTATCATAGTTTGTGATAAATAACACAACTTCCAAAGAAAAATATGAAATTCTAAAGGCTAATTCAAAGGGAAAGGAAAAAAATTCAATTTATATCAAAGAGCTGGTATGCTGAAATAAATAAATATAACATATGAAGAACATAAGCCAAACATGATAAACATACTGAGAAACACTAGGTTGGTAAGGTCTGCTCCTCCACAATCATGCCTAATATATGTTTTATCAAGGCTACATTAAAGTAAAAATAACAGTACATGGATAGTCACTTTGGGGGGGGGGGGATCCTTGGATAAAAAAATTTTATTGCTATTTTCATAGAGCTCCGCCTATCAATTCATCCGTCATCTACTTGAAACTCAATGTCCTGCAAGTTTTTCTCTTGATATGTTTTCTTTAACTTTAGATTAAAGAAAATCATATGCAGATGCAACTGTCACTGGAACTGAGAGTAGCACTCTAAAAGTGATGCACATATTAGTTCAGACTGCAGACAGTTTGTTTGTTTGTTACAGATTTTGCTCAAAGCTACACGAGGGCTAGCTGCACTAGCCATTCCTAATTTAGCAGTGTAAGACTAGAAGGAATGCAGCTAGTCATCACCACCCACTGCCAACTCTTGGGTTACTCTTTTACTAATGAATAGTGGGATTGACCGTCACATTATAATGCCCCCACAGCTGAAAGGGCAAGCATGTTTGATATGATGGGGATTTGGAGCCGCGACCAAAAGATTGTGTGTCGAGCACCCTAACCACCTGGCCATGCCGGGCCGGACTGTAGACAGTACATGTGTAAATGAATTACAGAGTTCCAAGAGCATCACTGTTTTTGCAGAAATGTAAACACACTGAAAAGTTCAACAGCACAGTTCATCCCCTTTAACATCAGTATTGCTAAGTGCTACTGCCAAATTAATAGTTTCTTCGGTTCTTCTCAAATCACCCAAGAATACGAAACTTGAGACTAATCACTGAGCAACTCAAAATGATCTTCCATATGTCTTAGGGCATAGTCCTATGCAATGTAAAGAAAAATCACTTTTGAACCTATATCTGCATCAATAATAGGATCATCCTCAGATTCATAAATAGTAAAGCATTTCCTCTGTCTGACGTGAGTCTAGGTCAATTATGCAGCAACTAAATTTGCTCTTTCCAATTCTTTATCACTTCTCATTATGCCTTTGAAACTATTCAAGAGAACCTTGAGTTCTAGGCATGTTGTAGCACAAGATAATAAGTGTGCGGACCATTTTCAT